CATCAGGTACCACTTCATGTGTCACGACTGCAATGGTGTATCTATAGGTCAAATATGACGTTCGATAGAAACGAGAATTAAAGAATACTCAAGAAGCTGGAAATTAAGTAAAATGGATCCAACCTTTGCATCCCACCTTATTGAAACTAAACACCAATTTCATCCAGAAACAAAACTGCAAAAGTTTACATAACCGTGAAAAAGGTAAAAAAACTAGACAGTCTGGAAATTTTAGAAATAAATAAATGTCTAAAAACAAATCCAGAAAAAGTTCTAAATGACCAAATCAACTTAAGCTCCTCCCTATTTGTCCCTAGGTAAATGTCAAGCTCACTTTCAGTTCTTTGTTTAAACATATGTATGTATAAACCCTGATGATGCCTTTACTGGCGAAACCATGGTCGTAATTAACGATTTACTTGTGAAACGTAAAGTTGTCTTGTTTTTCCTCAATTCTGTAATTATGGAGTTTCACCAAGTACCGACGGTTTCAAGTATGAATTACTTAATATCTTACTTCAGAATTATTTTATGATTATAAAAAAACACAACTCAAGTATGAATGCGTTATTGTATCATTTTTTAAATTTCTTTTTTTTTTACACAATTAGGAATTTTAACGTTTTAGTGATTTTAGAGTAAATTTAAGTTAATTTTTAATTTTCTGTTCTTTTTTGTATTTAATGGAAAACTATAAAACTTCTTACAGGAACTCAAACTAAGATAAAGTTATTTCAAAGACAGGATAAATCTCTAATGCTGTAGAATCCTTACTTATGTTTGGAGTCTGTTTTTCTCCTTCATCATTTTCCACATTCCGCTTCCAAGAGAATTTTATTTCTATTTTCTATATCGATTCTTCAAGTCACTTTTGACAGTAATTATAGAATTCGAAAACAATAACGATGTGACTTTTCTCCCTTTATTTTTTCTGTATCGTTTTATCCTCAGTCTCTTTTGTTTATAACGTGTACCTCTTGTAAGCTTTTTATTTCACTATTACGTCGACTACTGGTCAATATTGCGCTCGGAAGTACTATACTTAAGTTCTGTATTACTTATACCATCCGTCAAAAAAGAACTTTTGAAGATTCAACCCTCTAACAGATTGTCGCTAAAATTATGATCAGTTATCATCAACAGAGTATAATACAAAAAACCGAAATTCTATACTGGTGATTTAGTGCTAAACGTTTAGAATTTTTTTGTGTGTACAATAGTAACTATGTAATACTTTCATGGTAATAGCTCATATCTGATAAACAGGGAAAAGCAGATGAAGTCTTATTAAATGTGTTTGAAATATGAATCCATCAGAATAAAATGTGGCACGCAATTTTTCTCTCACTTCGAATATGAAGTAGTTTATGTACCATTTAAAATATTTGGTGTGTTTTAATAAACTAATAAAATCAATTACACCACATTTAATTCAGAAACTATTGAATAAGGTGAAAGTAATTCGTAGGTGCAGTTTTCTCCAGACTATAACAAAAACTATTTATTGGAATATCTATTTTACTATTGTGTAAACATAATTTTTCTGAATAAAGGCTAGGTATGCACGTGAATTGTGTAATATTAAAGTAAGGAATAAAATGAAATATAAAACAAAGTCTTCAGACAAACCAGACTATTTCAATTTCTTAATAACAGCTTAACCAGAACTGACACAATACAATACTCTTACACTATTTTTGTTTTACTTATTCGACTTAATGAGTCGTTTTATATTGCGCTCCATTATATATATATATTAATTTGAGGCCTCCGGTGGCCCAGTTGTAATTCTAAGGGGTTATAACGTTAAAAATCGGCAGCCGATTGTGTGTAGTTTTGTGTTTAACAACATAAAAACACACACAAAAAAAATCTGAGTTCAGAGATTAAAATGGTGTTTAACTTTTTTGGCACATACGGAAGTAATTCAGGATTGTTAAGAATGAAATATTTTGAAGATTTTTAACTTTAAAAAAAGCATAATTTATTTTGAGAAAGTATCAAATAACGCAAAATATCTTATATATTTATAAACTGAGATGCTTTAGCTTTGTTTTCTGTGAAAAATTCTAAAATTCTGCATTTTTTCAAAACTCATTAGAAAATTATACAAAAAGATGGATAATTAGTTTCTGTAGTAGCCTATTGTGTAGCTTTGAGCTAGAACAAACAAAACCTTCTCTACTTACCGTCGTAATTAAGGGTGAATTTTTTTTGTAATAGATAACATTGTATTTTATTCATTTTACTTGTATAGTTATTTTTTTTTGTGTGATATCGTATATAGCCATACATATAATTTTCCATCATTATAGAAGTAATCGTTACAGTAGTATTTTCGGCAGTCTGAAAATAACAAAATATAAGAAATCCAACAGAAAATCGTATTTAATATTCGACAGGATTTATAGATTAAATTAGATATAAACCACCCTTCAGAAATCAAAATTTATTCAGATCTAAAGACATATTACCTACTCTTTGCGTTTGTCCCACGGTAGGTCGGCGGTAAGTTTACAACGCTAAAATCCCTGGTTCGATTTCGCGCGTTAGACACACTGCAGAGAGCCAAATGTGGCTTTACTCTAAAACAAACAAACTGCCAATGGACTCATGGATTATGTAGAAATATACTTTTGGTGGCTGTAATGCCACTTACATTACCAAAACAATAGGTTAAGTGAAAAAAAAATAATTAAACATTTGTTGTTGTTAAACAAATGTTTATACAATTTTATTCAATTATGTACCAGCTGCCCAGTGCCGGCTAACAATACGAAGAATTAAATTGTGGCGGAATGCTACAAGTTCTTCAAATACCTATATAATGATAGGTTTCTTTTTTGTGAGTGTAAAACACTTAAATACATCATTTCAAATAGGTTAATTACGTTTACGGGCTTATGAACACATGAGAATTTGTAGCAGAACTGGAAAACTACTGCCAAATACTCTAGACTTATACACATACTGAAAGCAGCAGTCACCTCAATTCGATTAAATATTTTTAAAATATCTCATATGGATCAGCAGCGAACTGGACTCTAGATAAAAGCTAGAGAGAAGCCTACTGGTTTGTCATAAAAATAATAAAAGCACATACTTAAGAATTATGGGTAATAATTTAATGTTAAAACACTAGTCGTACATAGGTCAGGTGATCAGCAAATCCTTCACAAGATAGGAAATAACATCTTCAGCAGAAATATTAAGTAAATCTTTTACAATTCACCTCGTTATTGGTAGAATTAACACACATGTTAAATTAAATGTTAATAAGATAGCTATAGACAATGTTTCCCGTGTAGCCCCGGTGGGTCAGTTCGTGCCTGAGCTGGGTCTTTAAGTCTATTCTGTATACAAGACTGTTCAGTTTAAGAGTTATTATTTAGTTTAGTTAATATTTAATGATTATTTAGTTTTCATAACAAAAGTGTTAAAAGTTCGTTATGTACGATAGTTATGACAAGTTTCGTTACGTAACTCTGTACGAGTCGTAGGTTGTAATATTGTTGACGTCATCTTACTCGAAGCTTCTAAGTCTTTCTCGTTATGTATAATATCGTTGTTACTAGAGAGCTAGATATTTTTATATTTTTCTGTCGCGTGTTATAATTATGTACAGATACAGAGAGAAAAAAACTTAAGTTAGTGAAAGAAAAGCGAAGTTAGACTGTGTGATTGTGAGTTTAGCCGTAAGGGGCGATTTCTAAAGTGAGTTTCACAGCTTGTATTGAAAAACAGAGACAAAGGAGAATGATTTGTCTTGTCAAAGGGTGTTATAAAGTAATTGAACCCACATGTGTGAACTTTGACGAAAAGGAGACAATTATTTAAAGGTCTGGATACAACTGTGGTAGCGAGCAGTTATAGTGGTGATTTTGAAGTGAGTTTCACAGTCTGTATTGAAAGAACAGAGATAGAAAATAATAATTTGTCTTGTCAAATGGGTTCTAAGGTAATTGAACCCGTCTGATGTATAAGAGAATTATCTAAAGTTCTGGATACAACTGTGGTAACCCACATGGTAACGTAAGTGAATTTATCACTGATTGTATTGTCATAACAGAGGAGATAAAAAGTAATTCGTCTTTTTAATTGGGTTCTAAAGCAATTGAACCACCCTATGTGGAGTTTTGACAAAAAAATTAAATTATTTAAAGCTCTAGATTCAACTGTGATAACCTATATATATATATGTAGATAATTTTTTTACTGGTTTTGAATATATTATTTAAAAACAAGTAGATTGTGTGCTGTCCGTTTATTGTTGAAATTTATTGCCAACAAGTCACAGGCACCTACTGTAAAGAATACGGTTCTATAAAGATCTAACAATGCCCCGGTGGGTCATTCTGCACTTGAGCTGGGTCATTAAGAGCGTCTAGTATTAATGTTTGTTTGTTGTTAAACACAAAGTACACAGTGAGTTATCGATGCTATGCTTAACATGGGTATCGAAACCAAGTTTTTAGCGTTATAAGTCTCCAGACTTAACGCTGAGCCTCTAGGAAGCCTATTTATTTTACACGAGCTCCCAACTCTAAATAATAACACAACTTCACTTGGGTCTGTTCAAAATAACTTTATGTAATTCCACAAAGAAAAGCAATAAAACATTGAATATTGTAACATGTATGTTGTTTTACACCCATCCTCAAACCTTTTGATTTTATTTCATTATTCTACTTTGTATTTTCATTCCTTATCTTGGATCTTTGTAACTTACCTTTTATCTTATTCAATGTAGCTTGCTGTTTATTTCGAAACGTTTAAGTATTAAATGTCTCTTGCAGTTTCATGAGAATCTAAAGTGATGTTTGTTACCGTTTCATAAGAATCTAATGTAATGTTTGTTACCGTTCCCGTTCTGTTTTTCTATATGATTAGATCTCTTTTAGTTTTGAAATAAAAAATATATTTTCCTTCCAGGTTTTGTTTTCTATGTAAATCTCTATACGTTCTGAAATAATGTTTAATTCGTCATACTTTCTCTGAAGTTTCTATAGCTGAAGACCACAGAGGACCATTATTTGATGTGGAGCCTCCATCTAGGGTCGTATTTTACAACAACACTGAAGCTGCTATTCCGTGTTCCGCCACTGGAAATCCGAATCCCCTTATTAGCTGGAGGGATGAGCGCGGAGATGAAGTTAAAGATATTCCCAATTTACGTTACATTAACCAAGACGGCTCTTTAATATTTCCGCCATTTTCAGCTACTGAATACCGTCAAGACATTCATTCAGTTGTTTACACATGTGTGGTATCGAACACTGTTGGGACTGTAAGAAGTCGAGACGTACACGTGAGAGCAGGTAAGGACTTGGATGTAGCTTGTTGTTCAATATGATGTGTGTGTGTGTGTGCACGTAAATCTTTTCTTTTGTACTAACTGAACAAAAAATATATAATTAAAAATCAATAAGATGGTTGGAAACTTTGACTGCATGCTTATGTATTTGGTTAAAAAGAATATTTTGACTTTACCTTCCATTAGATGTGGCGTGGCATGGCCAGGTGATTAAGGCGCTCGACTCCCAATCTGTAGGTCGCGGGTTCGAATCCCCGTCCCATCAAACATGTTCGCCCTTTAAGCCTTGGGGCGTAATAATGTGACGGTCAATCCCACTATTCGTTGGTAAAATAGTAGCCCAAGAGCTGCCTTCCTTATAGTCTTTCACTGTCAAATTAGGGACGGCTAGCGCAGATAGCCCTCGTATAGCTTTGCGCGAAATTAAAAAGAAACCCAATTTTCTTTTAACTCGATGTTTGTGGTTAAATGGTTTTATAGAAATGATGAAAAACTATACAGATCTAGCGAGAAAAGGAAGCATTAATAGCAACTTGTCGTGGAAACAAGTTTGACTTAGAGAGTCCTTTGTTGTAGTAAATCATACTTAAGGTTATACAACTTGGCATTCGTTTTGAATAAATAAAAAAGTCATCACGAGTAAGTAATAAAGACCAAAGCCAAACCTAAAATACAAAACAGGTTAAAAAATATGAAAATTGCCTAATGTAAGGACGTCTAAGCAACATTACTATCAAGATGAAAACATGTTGCATATATATTATATACAATGTGGAATGTTCATTAGTCTGGACGGCCTTCATTACATTGCCAAGCACTTAATATCACATTAGTTATATTTCTTAATATACTGTTTTTAATATACTTTTATTGGTATTTAATGGCCGAGTTAATTTACCTCAAGCTGGTTTTTGTACAGTTTTCCTTTACAAGTTTCTTTCATTATAAGAAACATATTTATGCTAATTATCAAGCAAGTGCAAAATAATTGATGTCATATTTAAAACTGTTCTTTGTTGTATGAATTCTACCAGTTCTCGGAAGAAAGTGGAAAATGATACGTAATTACTGCTACTGGAGGAATTTTCCGTTGAAGAATTTGCATTGAAGCAATTATCCCTCAATATCAGCCACCTTCAAATTTTTACAAGTTTAGAAGCGCAAGCGTTAACATTTTGGAGATTCTATAAAAAGTTTTTTTTACAAACTACATAAAACTTCCGTTGTTACCAAAACCTCTTCTGTCTACAAAGCGTACTTTCGAAAACAAAAAACAATCTCGCTTAAATACTCTGATTTTATTGTTACTTTAAAACTGAAAACGTGTAGTTCTTTTTTTTTAAAGTTGCGAGGTTTTTTCTTCTTTAGAATAATAAAAGTCCAAAGTTGTGTTTCAGTTCTCCTGATTGCTATACATCACGCAATTTATCCCAATCTTCAAAGATCACATTAATGAAATAGAGAGTCTCCAACAAACCAAGTTAATGTGGAGAAGCGAGAAGAAAACTGCAGAGATAGAAATCAATAATCTTGTATATATTTACAGAATGTATTACAGGAGCACTTTTGATGTGTTACAGGGTGGCCACGGCTCACCAGCTAAGAATCCCGGAACCTAAAAGCGTGTAGTGTGTAGGTAAAAATGACCAGATTGAAACGATATTACCCCATATGAGGGAATATTATAAAAATACGTGCTTTCATGTGCATTAGTCTACCAGTGTATGAATAAGACCTGATGGACTGTGCAGTTGTATTCAGTCTTGCCCAGTGTGCTCAGTTGTAATCACTTTTGTCCTGTGTGTAAGACATGCTAGACGGTTTAGTTGTCACTTTTGGCCTGTGTGTAATGCATTCTAGACGGTTCAGTTGTCACTATTGGCCTTTGTGTGAGACATACTAGACGGTTCAGTTGTCAGTTTTTGTTTGTGTTCAGTTGTTCCTTTTAGCCTGTGTGTAAGACATACCAGATGGTTGAGTTGTCACTTTTGGTCTGCGTTTTCAGTTGTAGTCACTTTTGTTCTGTGTGTTTAGTTGTAGTCACTTTTGGCCTGTGTGTAAGACATACTAGACGGTTCAATTGCCACTTTTGGTCTGTGCTTTCAGTTGTAGTCGCTTTTGTTCTGTGTGTTCAGTTTTAGTCACTTTTGTCCTGTGTGTAAGACATGCTAGACGGTTTAGTTGTAGTCACTTTTGGCCTGTGTTTAAGACATAGTAGACGATTCAGTTGTCACTTTTGGTCTGTGCGTAAGACATATTAGAGGTTCAGTTGTCACTTTTGGTCTGTGTGCTAGTGAGACTCGCTAGACTGTACAGTTGTGTAACTCTTCAACCGATGTGACTTGGTTAAGATGAATCTGAATATAGATATGTCGGAAATAAACAAACATAAATAATGTGTCTGTGACTGTGTGTTTACGAAGTGCAGCATTATAGATACATGTGCGCAGGCTGTAATGTGAGATGAATCTGTTGCAATTAGGCGTATTGGAACATTGTGCAACTGGAATATAATTTAAGGGGTAAAACAATATTTCAACCTATCATTTGTTTTTATCGTTCTCTACCACAGCGCATTTATTCCCCCCACACTTTTTTGTAGGTGTACTTGCTCGCAATTTTTTTTATCGAAATAAATAATGTAATTGTAGTTGTAATCTTGTTTTTGTAGAAAATGTATAATTAATTCTAGTTAGTGTTAACTAGTCTACCTAATTCTATATCAGTTGCCCATAATTGTAATTTTTTTTCAACAATGAATCGCTTCGTTATCACAGTGACAACAATTGAACATAATACCACAGCTAAAACAATGGTCACAGTTATCACAGTGATAACAATTGAATATAATACCACAGCCAAAGCAATAGTGATACTCAACGGTAATATACGATTACATGAATAATATAAATCTAGTCAGTTTGATCTTTGTTTCGGAGTTTCTGTGCAAATCTACGAATTGGGCTATCTGTGCATAGCTACTCCTAATTTTGAACTATTAGGCTAGAGAGAAGGCAGCTAGTCAATAGCGTTCACCGCCAACTCTTCGTATACTCTTGTCTGACCGAATATTGGGATTTGAGAAATCACTCTTATTAAATCTCAATGGTCCAAAAATGTAAAGCGCGTATTAGCTGAAACGGGCCGCGAACCATGAACTCTCGGACTGAGAATTCGAGCAGACTATTCTACTACTCCACGAACGATCCAGAATTTATAGTTTGTACCTTAAAAAAGACTTATAAGTCTAAATGAAGGGAAACGGAGAAAAAAAATAGAAGAACAGACGTATAATATTTTACTTGATGGATGAATAAAATACAAAAATAACCTTGATATAAGGATTCGAGCAGACTTTATACACACTTTCCTGAATGCGAAAATTTCTTTCATGTTAACAATATTGCTCAACTTCTCGTATTAAAGACGTTTTCAAAACCCCCACACACACACTATATATATATATATATACAGAAACATGTATATGAGATTATACACATAAGACCTATTTTCCTGGAAATAAGTCTTCCTTGTCTGATGATTGAAATTTTACCATGAGTAAGTAATGCATGCGACATTTTCTCCTCCAATAAATATGTAAAGAGGGAAACCGATCCCGGATCTCTATCTTTTTCTGTTACAGGATCGATATTTCCTTTTCTGTGGTGCAACAGCTGGGCTTTTACTTACAGTGTTTAGATACGATATGCTAAACCTTGTAAATACAAATTCGTATGTTTAAAAAGAAGCTTTCTCATACAGTCAAAACTGAAACATTCAGGAAAGGAGACTAAATTATTCATTTTCTATAGAGGAGTTGGACAAGAGAATAATGATGTAACGCAAATATAGAGTATTAATGCAGAATGATATTTCATTCTCAATATCCGTGCAAAGAATTAATAAATAAGTAGCGCCACATATAAGTGACAAACAAGTAAAACTAAGGAAATAAACATAATGAAAATAGTAGAATATATTCTATTGGAATATGTAGATGAAGAATTAGATCCCAAGCAGTGATTAGAATACGCCGTCTATTAGTTTTAACCTCTATTCGTAAAGTTAAATTGAAATTTAAAATTAGAAGCAGATAAGGTCGACCAAAACCATAATGTTCCAGATTAAAACTACCACTTACGGCCTATAACAGTTGCTTGTTTCAGAAGTTTCGCTCACAGCTACACAAGCTCACTCTGTGCATAGCTGTCCCTAAAGAGACTAGAGAAAAGTCAACAACACTTTCTAACATATCTTGGGCTACTCTTGTCTAATGGAATATTGGTATTTCACCGTGACTCTATAGCACATCCACGTCTTCAAAGTGCGGGACGTGTTTCTGTGGCAACGCGTTGTGCGAACCTTGGATTCACGGTCCGAGTTCACTAACTAATAGGCCACACCCGGCCCTATAGCTAGTTGCGGCAAAGCAGCTACTCTAATGAAACAAAACATAAAAAGAGAGAATAGGTAGTTAAAAACAGATTAGTTAGGACAGTGAGTAAAATTAATCTCCAGTATTTAGTAGCTATTTTACGTTTACATCTAATGTTAAAAGGGCGAATGATATACAACCATCTCTTTTTAACTTCGATATTCTTTTCAGAACTTCAGATAACTAGACAAAGAAAAACAAATCAAGGTGTACATTTATGAAAGCAAATATCTCTAAAATACAAACCACAGAGTGCTGTATTTATATCCTTGTAAAATAAGTCGAGTGATATTTTATTTTCCTGGCACCAAGCCGGCAAAATCCAATTTCCGTTCCTTATGTAGCAGCATATATTGTTCTAGTTGTCATGCTGCTCATCTAAGTATGGCGGTGAAAATTTAAAGATAAAAGTCTCTTACCTGTTGTTTTCGTTCATATATTTTGTTGTTTTTGTGTGATGTTAGGAACAACTTTCTTCCCACAACTCACTGTTTTACATGTTGGTTGGTGTGTATCCGCTCCAATTTATAAATTAAAATTTCATTTAACGTGTGAATCGAGAGACTATA